CACACAAACAAACAATCATCTGCTTTATACAATTAAAACATATAAAAATCTGAACATATTACAAATTAAGACTGGAAATATATAAAATAAAAGTGAGCTTAAATGAGACAGGGAAAATGAAAACACATAATAATAATAATGATAAAAGAACACAATATCGTGTACAGCAATTAGTGAAAAAAACACAGTAAACGGAACAAATAGTTAGAAGTCTGATATCAGAGAAACTAGTTTTGATACGTTCGTGCGTCCTCTTCAGTCTCATGTTGTCTTCAGAAGACAGTTTCTCTGATATGAGACTTCTGATGGTTTGTTCCGTTTACTGTGGTTTTCTCACTAAAACACATATAGTTAAATTGAAAACACATCATGAACTAAATATGAAATGACACTAGAAACAATTGTAAAATGCAACTTTATCATAAGAAATAACAAACTTTATCATTAATTAAAGAAATTAAGATACTTACACCACTCAGGTGTTGAGTGCCTTTCCTTAATAGTCGTTTCTCAGGCGCCATCTCCCGACAATCAGACAATGTTTGCTATTCCCCATTTTATCTATGGTAGGCGAATAGCACATCATTATATGTTAATAATGCAGACCTTTTGAAAGCTATACAACTTTTTTTCATCTACAATGTTATTTCGTGTCAGTGACGTGTTTGGTTTAAGCTCCTCGGGTCTATGTGGCAGTTTACAAAAGTTTTCTTAGGAGTGAAATAGATTTTCAGGTAGTTCACAAGACACATGGCTACATTGATAAGTCAAGTTCGAAAATGTTCAAGTGTTTGGCAACAGTTCGATCAGGAGATTAGTTAGCAACATAGGATTGTAGTTACAACCAGGTAGTTGCAGTAGAATCAAAGTAACACAGGTGGATGGTTTTCTTATCTTCATAATTGTATCTTCTCAACTTACAAAATCATTACTTTTATATGATTCCTTTGTGTTAGTTTCTTAATTTTTTAACAATTCAAAACTGTGTTTTCTTGAAGAGACATATTCATTATATCATGAATAAATCATGATATTTATATATTTTTTTTAATGCTAATTGAAGCTTATTACTAGACATAACTATTAACATAAATGAAATAACATCTTCTACCTCATTCGAGAGGAAGATGTTATTATATTTATACTAACAGTTACGTCTACTTACGAAAATTACTTAAAGTGTTTGCAAAATTTTCAAAATGTCAAGATATTTTAACTTGGAAAACCTCTCTAATAGAGAAAAGTTTTATAATAACAGTACCAGACAAGACTAGTAAAGTTATTGAATATTTTATGGGTGAAGGTTTGGATCACTTTCAAAGTGAACAACACTTAACCTTGCATACCTCCTGCCATGCCATTTCCCCACACATTTTGACATTAGATATTCTGAGATGCCTGCTATTCATAAAGCACAGAAATGAAACTTGTTAAAAACAAAACTGTGTTATTTCGTTTATTACATTGTGAGTCAAAACGAATTCAAAAACCCCATACATGTTTTAATTTCTGTTATACAGCTCTGTATTTTTCGATTTTGTGGCATGTGCGTGTGGGTGATAAAAGGTGGGATTCAGAAGACGATTAATTGGTATTTGAAGTTCACTGTTTTCCTTGAGACACTCTTATTATCTTCTTACTTATATCTTATGGGATGTTTCAGCCATGATGAAAGAATCCGCACAAAGGATTGCTAAAAAAATCAAGTAGCTTTCAAAAGACTAGAAACTCGAACGCTTTCGAATAGTTGACTATTCTTTTTCAGTCATTTGAAACTTAATTAGGTCTTTAATCTTTAATTGTAATTTTTGTTATAGTGATGATATTAATATCATCACATTTTATCCAATTATAACTAATGTAGAATACATCTTTATTTAAATATATATTCTTGTAGATTTTTATAAATTCTTATACAGTTTTTTTTTGCACGTGGGTAGCGTTTTACCGAAAAAACAACAACAGATAAACAAAGTTCATAATGATGCTCTTTATTACGTAAAGGTTACATACTGCAACAGCTATCCTATTGAAGCTTTTCCAGCTCGGCCACGTGTGTCTACTCCATATGATGTGGTAAGCCAATTTTAGGGATTAATCAGTTATCTGTCTAAGCTAGCATGAAATGGGAGGTTATCTTTCTTGCTTATATTATTTGGAATAGTAATTATTGTAATTAATCTAAGGATTTGGGGATATCATTTAGGACTCTAGTCTGGGTCGAAAGTGTCGTGTTTCAGTAATCCTTATCCTGTCCTTTTCCTGTACATATGTACGTAATTATTTGTGCAAGCATGAAATTGTTCTGCTATTCAGCCTCAGTAGTAATTTACAACCATACTGTAGAAACAGAATCTTACGTTTAATTCAAGGCATTCATTAGCATGAATAACAGTTTTATCTGTTCAATGTGTTATTTTGCTGTCAGAGTTCATTATACTATTTTTAATAACATTTCTAAAACCTTTATTTTATGAGTGAAAACAAGTGTGTTGTAAAACATAAATTTGATAAAAGAGTTTTATGTTACCAAAACTGGTCGTACGTTTTCTTCTTCTGGCTGCTGAGGTTGAAAAACAAGAACAGAAATCGAGAGCAAAATCCAGTGACAGAATTATGGAAATACCCAATTTATATACTCTTGCTAAACAAAGTAAGGTATCTCACAAATTCACAGGTCACAGACTTTAACCAATGGTTCACACGCATTCTTAAATCAAGCATTTGTAAAGGTTTCTATATTGCCTGTTTGAATAAGTTACTTTATAAGAAGTCCACACAGATTCGTGTACATGTTAGCTTGAGACTTACGAACAAAGTTTTCCGTTTTTTGTTTTACATGTTTTAATTCATCTTTACGATCTTAGGACATCCGGTCAACGAGAATGTCATAACTACATGCAGAAACTACATGGAATTTTAGAATGACATTCCAGTACTTTTACACTGGATAGAAGGACATGCATCAAATTCATTGGGAGCATCACTTTTCATCCAAACATCAGGAGATTTGGAGAACAACCAGTCGACTGTTTCCCAGTTACACAGTATGTCGTCATGACATAAAGGTGGTATTCCCATTCAGTTCGGTCAAGGAAAAAAACTTTGTTCTTATCGGGCCTAACTCTCCGCTCTTCAGTCATTCACCGAGATACTGCAAAAATATTTGCAATAATGAGAACTTATCATAGTACGAAGTTGCAGTTCTTCAGTGATTGTGTTATTATATCTCATGAGCTAATGCATTTCTTATCACACTTTACGTAGTATCTTCGGCGTAATTTGTGGCATTATAATCCTGGGTTGAAAACATGTGAAAAAAACGTTGCTTTACCTTTATGAAGTCCCTTGTTATTCTGCAGACCTACTTTGTCAATCTGAGGGAAATCGGTTCAATGTGAAAAAACACAAAATGAATAGGAAGGAGAAGGGTTTGGAACCGTGACTACAGGATATTCTATTCCAGAGTGTTCTGTTTTCTGCTAACGTGTATACTGCCTTTTGCTCCAGCTCTCGAGTTATTACAACTAAAGAAGGTTAGTTCTTGAGAAAATGTCATTTTCCAGTAATTGAAGGAATTACAACAACCAAAAGGCAGAGCCAGTCACTGAGGTACAACTATGGAATTATGGGACAGTTATTGGCGAAATGCCACTTATGTGGAGAATTTGCATCTATTTCTTGGTAAAACTTACCCTGTAATGGCGTCAGTGGATCATAAGGATATACTCTTTGTTACGTTTATGGAAGGACTGTCCTGAGAGCTGATGAGATACCACCTATTTGTAACAGATATTCTCATTCTTGTCAAGGCAGGTTTTGTCCTGAAAGTTTGTTTGTTTGTTTTTGAATTTCGAGTAGCCCAAGAGTTGGCGGTGGGTGGTAATGACTAGTTGCCTTCCCTCTAGTCTTACACTGCTAAATTAGGGACGGCTAGCGCAAATAGCCCTCGTGTAGCTTTGCGCTTTTACCAACGAATAGTGGGATTGACCGTCACATTATAACGCCCCCAAGGCTGAAAGGGCGAGCATGTTTGGTGGGATGGGGATTCGAACCCGCGACCCTCAGATTGCGAGTCGAGCGCCTTAACCACCTGGCCATGCCGGGCTTCTGTCGTGAAAGGTGCACAGTGATAACTTCAAACCAGTCACAAGAGATAGAGTAGCCTCCAAAAGTAGCTGCAGTGGCTGTACTTGAACATATTATCTTACCCAATCATGCCAAGTTTGAGTCTAGCTGAGGGTTTAACAATCACTCACACATCTGTAAGGTAGCCACATTGATACCCAGTAAATGGGCACAACTGTTCCAGTGTTCCCATACTTTTTATGGCACAGCCTATGCTAATGATGCTTCTGCCCGAACATCATTCTGGAAGGGAAGAGCAAGAGCAAAGTGTATGCTTTGGGCGTGTAGTATTTGGTCACTTACGAATGAGCTGCTCATATCTTACCAAGCATCAAGGTAGTCAAGGCTATCAAATTCGTCCAGCGGCTCATTGGGATAGATGTACTATGGAGTGTATTGGTCAGTTTCACCTGTGCAACCAGGAAATGATGTTCCATGAGGGAGTTATTCAATGCTGGCAAGATTGAGCCCAAGAAAAATAAACTGCATGAACGCATGTGGGAGAGGAAGTCATAGTATCCCCATATACACAAGGGGTGTGCCTTATCTCACAACAGTTGCAGGGCAGAGTGGAATGTGATTTTTTTTACGTTCTTGTCTATTCACAGTTTCTGAATGCAGAAACTGTACAACAAAAAAAGAACTGTCTGCAATTGAAGTCTTCATGAAACAATGTTGACAGACACTAAATGTATAACATAAAGCTCATAATCGAGTGAGACATTCATTGCTGAAATGTTTGGATGCTGGACAACAGTATTGTAGGAGTATGACCAAATCATCCAACATTGTCCAAGCTCGCAACATGGAAATGCCAATGGATTATCTCGTCACATGGTGAGACTCATGGGTCAAGTTCAAACAACCGTAATAGGCCAAGAAACTATTGTTTAACTATAACTAACAATGGTGACAAAATCAGTGAAAAGAAAAATACTAACACTTTGGATAAAGCATCTAGAGAAAGATAAATGAGTAAAATCGTCGAAATTGATTCATATTGTTACGTCTCCGTTTGTTAATTAATTTTCCGTAACTTAGTTCCGACGAAACTTTAGTGACACAAGTCATTTCTTAAATAAAATGGTTTATTCTTTCTGAATATAACTTTACCGATACACTCAACTTCAACAGTTGCGCTATAACAAACTATATTTCACGTATCATGAGCTAGACTTCAACAATACGTCTCTCTCTCTGACTGCAGTTCAATTACTCATTACCTACACACACATTATTCTGTCACGTTGTCACCCTCTTATATATACCAGACTACCCTATATCTAGTAATCTCCCGACAATTCACGAAGGTACAAGATATTTCTAGAAAGCAGGGAGCGTGACTCTAGTCACGTGACCTCGCTGACGCAACAATAGTATGCTTTATACTGTCACATATTGTTCTGTGTCTGTAGTGGGAAAGGCAATGATTTACTATATACATAGAGATAATTATTAGCATAATCATTTAAGTTGTATTCTACTATTATGGGAAACCAGGTTTGGTTCTTTATAAGTACATGTATGATACATAACCATAGTTTGATAAAAATTGTAATATTACATTTTTAGATTACTTCTCTAAACATTCCAGAGGAAAATAACTCATTCTAAACATAAGGTAAAGTTTGCACACTCCACTCCTTTGAGGAAGGAATATCAGAATAAATACTTTTCCACACTGGTGCTTCCATGTCAGCCTAATTTTAGAAAAACAAAAAAGAAATTAAAATAGAAAAGTAGTTAAAATTTCATTTACTCTATCATTTTATTTTATTGAAGATGTTTCTTTTTTTCCAAAAATTTACATATAATTATTCAAATATCTATGGAGAATAGTATTGTAGTTATTTTTCCTTAGTGTTATGAACATTAATATCTATTAATATAATATATATATTATTCACAGATTGTGGAACTGCTATTGCCTTCCACAGAGAGAATCCAACCATTTTTCTAGTGGGAGTAGAGGAAGGAATGATCTATAAGTGTTCAAGTATATACTCAAGTCCCTTCTTGGCTACATACAAAGCCCATTATCTAAGCATTTATTCCATAGAGTGGAATTATTACCATCCAAGAGTGTTTATTTCATGTAGTGCAGACTGGATGGTTTGCATCTGGGACCACACATGCAGGTAAGGTGTTTAGGTATACACACATACTAGTGTAGTAATACTATATTACTGGTTTCAGTATACATATTTATATACTACTAATAGAATACTAATATCTCTCTCTGGGCATTTACATATATAAACTGCCATTAATTAGCATACAAGAAACTGCTTCAGTTCACATGTATTAATAAACTGCTGTTAGAGTCCTTATTTTTTATCGGGGGGCATACAGCTATGGTATCTGAATATGCCATGCATTTCCATCTTTTTGTAATCTATTTAAATAATATGCTTACGTTTGTCTGTCCAGAACTTTTCTTGCAAATTTCTCAATCAAATTCCACAAAACTTATATCTTTAGAAAGGCCTTTGTCTGAGGAGTAGACATTGCATATTGGTTTTACATTCAGAATAAATTACCTGTTTTTTGCTCATTTAAACTTTTAATGCAATAAGTATGGTACATAATGGCATGACGTTGTTGTCATCATGTGACAACTGGCTTCAATTTCAACTTTCCTAAAAAAATTAACATTACACTAAGTACAATTGCTATGGGCTTTCTCGACTTATTTAGTTCTAAAATATGCATACACAGTTCATTCAAAACCATATGCTTGTCACTTTGTCAACATGCATTCAGACATTTCTGCATAATCAGCTAAGTTTATCGTCATTACAACATTACATTTACTTTAGTTTGCAATAATTTAGCTTTGGTTTGTTTCATACTCTGTACACTATTTTAAATACCATTACTTCAGCACCAAAGCAGTAAAAGTTGCTGGAGAATGCAGGCTGTGAGTGTATGAGGAGAAAGGCAGAAAGTAACACCTACATGGTGAAACTCTAAATAATACCATAGTTAGTACTAAACTTGCAACTTAAAAGAGGTCCCTAAGGAAAAATGATCAAAGTGCTAGTGTATCCTAACAGTTAAAAGAAAGGTTGTTGCTTAATCGAAGTCAGTGTATGTGTGGAGGATCCAGTTTTATAATAAGCATACTGTCTGTTGCCATGGAAATGACAACAGAGAACAGCATGGCTAAAAGGTTATTGGTTAAGTAGAGTCCCAATGAGGCCTATGGAAAGAGCAGTTTATGGGTACCAGGGACACATGTTCAATGGAATATTAGAAATGTTTCTTGACCAAGGAAGCCTGCCTATTACTCAGCTTCTAAAGGTAGTTTTTGGAGGGGAGTAATGTTCATAACTAAGTGGGTATGACTCTCTTTCAGCTTACACATCTAGCTGACCTTTTGATTGATTGCATTTTTGATCAGAACTTTTGCTACAAGAGATTGAATCCTGGATGCTTCTGGCAATCTTGCTCTTCAATTAACAAGTGGTGTTTCATTTTCTTTGTGCCAAAGACTCCACCTTTTTATGGATGCCATTGAATGTTATATCCTGACCAAGAAGTGATGTACAACAGAGTTCCAGCAACTATGAGGTTAACTATGGCCAAAGAGAAACTAGTGAGAATGAATCTCCATCAATTGTATTTCATTTTTCTGTATAGTGTGTTAGATTGCTCCCTTCTAAAGGGGGTAGGTAATCATTGTTGTAGTTTTCTTTGTTTTATTGTATTATATATCATTGTCAAAGGTTTAATGTAAGCAGTGTGTGCTTCCTTGCTTCTGTGTTAAATGGTTTCTTTTCTATTATATATTATTTATTAAATGGTTTGTATGCATGTATTATTTCATTGTTAAAGGTGTTTTTTATTATGCATTTTATTTATTTGATGCAATTATGGTATATTTCTTGTTCAAGGACTGTGTAGCATGTGTTTTCACTGAAATGAAAGAGTTAACCAAATCCTTGACCAGTGCATGCTTAAAATTTATTGTTGGCTTGGGGACAAGCCTGAAGTATGGGAAACAGGAGAGTGTAGTATACAAATATACCATATTGTAGTATTTATTCTTTTCTCTGTACATGTGCAGAAAGCTATTAAGTTTATTTCATTCTAAAGCTACCTTTGTTCCTTTGTTGTTTTCAGATAAGATTAAGAGCAAATATTTGTCAATACAACATGTTGTGTAAAACTGTCAACAGCAGTGCCCTTCAGTGGTTGATCATGTGATATCTGGAGGCTATGGCCTCACATATGTTGTAATGAGAATGACATTTCATGTTGGTAGCAAATGCTTCCCTAGGTAAATGGAAGTCAGTCTGGAATTTGGTTCTCAGTAGCCAGTCCTGTGATCGAGTAAGGGTGATAATTTTGTGTAAGTAACAGCAAATACACCCACTTTGTTTGTGTTTAGTGTTGAATAAATATTGTTCATTTTATAGTACACTTTGTGTTCAGTCTCATTACTTTATTTTACATGGACCCGATTAGTAAGAGATTGAGTACTGCTCTGTAATTGATACCTTGAGCAGATCTCTTGTAATCTAGTAAACCTATCCAGTGTAGCTCTAAAATTAATCCAGTTTCACCTGGATATACTACACTACTATTATTAAAAGTGTTTCTGTATCTGGTTTAAAATGTAAAAAATACTATTAGAGTACTAGAAACTGCCTATGTTTGCATGTATATAATATTAATTTCTATTTGAATTCAAAGAAAATTTTAATCAAGGCAATGATTCTCATTTATGCTGATAATTTGAATTATATTCCTGATTAATTTTTCATTCAATTCAAATACAAATTTAAATAGCTTTTCTAATGTCAATATTTTTGCACTTATTTTATGTCACTCTCTAGGGTGGCCCTAAGGGAATATTAGTCAAGCAGTTTGCTTGTTATAAGCGTACACACACAGACTTTTGTCAAGTAATGGTTTAGGTGGTCCTTTACAATTTCTGATTATCTTAATAGTATATCCAAATTAACCCAGGTACAGATATAACTATTCTAATGGTAATTAATCTTATCTATATGTGTAACCCAAGTAGTTTTAAATCACTCTAAGAGTAGGTTATACATGTTAATCCAATACAGTTTGTGCTACCAATTCTTACTTCAGCGAGAGCAATTCTACTTGTTAACATTTGGGATTGTTGAACTTTATTGCATCAATTACAGTGTGATTTATTAGTTTATCATAAGTTTTATTGTAGTCATATTCTAAAATGTAAATCATTTTATTTTTAATACCAAAACATTCAGGGCACTAGCTTAAAAGAATATAAAATATTCTCATACTTAATGTCAGATAAAATTACATTTCATGTCTGACGATGAGTTGGGCCACCCGAGGCCATCGTTCCCAGTGCACTGCACCAGATGCACTGGCAGTTGTTCTTTGTTTGTAGTTAAGCACAAAGCTACACAATGGGCTATCTGTGCTCTACCCACCACAGGTATCGAAACTGATTTCTAGTGTTGTAAGTCTGCAAACTTACTGCTGTGCCACTGGGGGGCAGCAGTTGTTCTGCCACTAGTTTAATACATATATGTATGGTATTCAAATTTCACTCAGTGTCCTGTAGTGCATATTTCCTGTTTAAGAAAAAAATAGTTTTCCGGAGTCCTACTTAATAACATACCAAATCCATTTGAGGTCATGTACTAAATTCAGCATTAGGTGTTATTTTCCTTAGTTGATTCCAATCATGGAAATGATTGACAGTTTCACAAGATAATTGTATTGTGTCCTACTTTACCTTGTGTATTGTGAGACTGCTCTGAAACTTTCACACAGGGTTGTGACACTTCTGGATTCTTTTGATCCAGTATTCTAATTAGTCAACTATAGACAGAAGGTGAACTGTGAATGGAGTTTGATGTTTTTAAATAGATCATATCTGACTTGAAAGGGTCAAGACTTCTCAATGAAGTTCTTCCTTGTTACATTGTTTTTATACTGTCTGCTAATCATGTATAGCTCATCTTCATTTTTAGTAAGGTTTATTTTAATTTACTTCTTGATGATACTTTCGATTTTTGTTTCTTTTTTGGTTGATTGTTTGTCTAATTCTGAGCCATTGCATTCTTTATTTATGTTCCATGTCCAGCACCTTCCCATCATTTACCTGTCCTACCTCGAAGTTTTCCTCCATTAGTTGTATATTTTTGATGCAGGTTGGAGTTCTGTGATCAATCTGTCCTGCCTCAATCACTTTTTGGTTCTTTCCCATTTTCCTGTGTTGTCGTTTATCACACTCTGTTGGGCCATTTCTCCAGGACTGAGGATGACCAAGATAGACATTTCATATTCCTATACCCACATTCCTATCTTTCATCCATCGTGTTGCTATCTTAGGTTTGTTCACCAGGTGATTGAGGGTGGTGAGTGTTTTACCCGACTTCAGCATGACGGGGATTGTACTTGCACCACAACTTGGTCGTCTGGCTTCTGTTAGCTCATTCTGAACTGAAGTTGTCACAACATACTCATCTGCTTCTTAACACACATCTTGAGTGGTCGGATTTTTCAGTTGGAGAAGTTTTTCCCATTACCTCCCTAACAATCTCTTCTTTTGTGGTGTCTTTTTCAACACCTAACTTCATTGGCCCATCCTTCTCCTCTTTGACTGCACTTGATGGAGCTTTCAGTTATCCACACCATTACTGTTAACTATCTTACTGCTAGCAAGTTTTTATACAGTTGGGAGATGTGGCTTCTATGGAAGCACTTATCCCCAAGGGTCTTCAGGAGATGCTGCATGACCCATGGAATCTTGATAGGGTTTCTTTGGATTCTTCTCGTAACTTTCCTCCTTCCCTCATTGACAATATGCATTGGTTGTTTGATAAAACCCCCACTTCGTCGAGACCACTTCATTCCACTTGTCCAGATTTGTTTTCCTTACCTGATGCTTATCTCCAAGGTTGGTGGGCATAGGTCGATCAGCACGAGGTTTCAGGACAGTGGTATATGGTCAAGAAGTCGTACCATGTTAACGCCCTGGAACTTCTGGCAGTCTAATATGCTTTAGTTCACTTTCTTCCTCTTGTCAAGATTCAATTAATCATGATCGATTTCGACAAAATCGACGGTAGTGGCTTATATCACTCACCAAGTGGGCACCATTCTAGTTCTGTTTCCCCCCCTTAAC